CCATTTTTTTTTGCTCATTAATAATGTATATGTTTATGTTACATGTACGCATAGAATTTTATTTCATTAGGAATTACAAAATGAGATAATATAAAATATATAAAGATATAATAAAAAATAAAAAATAAAAAATAAAGTATTTAATTGAGTATTTAATGCACAGAAAGAAAAAAACTTAAAAAAAAGTATGTAAAATTATTATAATTATTATGGTTTACTTTTTATTTCACTGAGACGATTGGTGTTGTTTTGAACGGACGATGTCCTCAATATCGGGCTCCAAATTGCTAACTTAAATTATTTTCTACGTTAAATCCGGTGCATACTAGTTGCCTCCCAAAATATACGAATTGCTTCTCGTCCTTATCGTAAATAAAAAGGTTACTTTACACTAGTTGCCTCCGATGACCAGATTGTTCATAATTATATACGAGTTGCCTCCTAAAAAGTTTCACACTAATTGCCTCCCATATAGAATTAAGTAGTGGTTCATAAACTTCACCAAACATTTCCACATAAATAGATAATGTTTATACTTTATTCATTATTAAAAATATCAGACTTGGTTAAAACAATAATAATATAAAAATAATCAATACAAATAAAACATATTTTACTACTTATTAAAAATATATAGTGCAGTTAAAAAACATCAGTCTTAAGTATAATATATATAGAATAATGTTATAATAGTTTTTGGTAATGTTTATTTTTTATTAAAAATATCAGACTTGGTTAAAAATAATAATAATATAAAAATAATCAATAACATTAAAACATATCATAGGTACTACATATTAAAAATATATAGTGCAGTTAAAAAACATCAGTCAAATAATAAATCAATAAGTTAAACAAAATAGTAAGTAGTACCTATTATTAGTCAATAAAATAAATGTATGGTAATAATAATATAATATAATATGCATATAATGGTAAAAAATTATTTATCACATTGTTTAGGCTTGTATTTTTTTGCCAATATTTGTAAGTACTCAAAATTTGATATTTTTTTTTCATTTAGCTTTTTTATTTGGGTATCAATNCGTCCATGTAGTTTAGGCTTATGAGAACTTTGTATTAAAATTACAGTCTCAGTCTGAATTAGTTTTAAAATGTCAATAAATTTGATTATATTAGGATGCGGAGACTTAAAATAACTATTAAATTTGCTATGGAAGGATTCGCATGCATTGGTTGTGCGATGAATGCTGGAACTTTTTTCTGCCCATACATGATGTTTGAAAATGTTTGGAACCACTTATATATTTATTACCTGACTAATGGGAGGCAACTAGTACTAGACCCTTTTCGTTTATGATAAAATTTAGGGTACGTCAGGAGGCAACTCGTATATAGTCGGGAGGCAATTCGTATACAAATTATGGGCCTTTTTGATTTCGGGAGGCAACTAGTGTGCGCCCGTTAAATCTACTTCTACTCGTATATGTATTTTTTGTGTACAATAAGTGAGAAAATGTATTTTCGCACAGATATGTTGATACAAAAGGGATTAGAAACTGTAAAACTTGTTTGGACAATGCCGAGTATTCTTGTTTTACGCCCAGCCAAAAATTAGTGATATTTTTGTTTTGAAAGTGGTTCTTAGGGTAGAGTCACTGGTTAAGTCAGTAAATAATTCTTTTGCCAAAATACGTTACAAACTATACTATTACAAACGACCTCCACACCATCAAATAAACATTAAATAAACCAAATAATATTTAATGTTACTAATAATTTGTAGCAATTTTTTTTAAGATTTTCTTCGCGTACCACCTATGAGCTCTCCGCGTACCACAGGTTGAGAACCGCTGACCTACAACAATTTATAACTTTGTAAAATATTGAATGAATAAAAAATGTCGATACGTGGCTATAGTTTTGCTGTACAGTAGGTTATAAGTTTATTATTTTAGTGAAAGGTATTCAATTTTAATTCAATGTTATAATATAATTGTATATTAAAACAATTCTGAGCGAAGACGGTTTGTCGGCCAATTTGTATAACCAATTTTTACCTATTTATTTTACTATTAGGCTTAGTCTGTATAAGAAATAAATAGGGCTCAGATTTAAATGCTCTAAAAATATAAAAAAAATCCCTTTAAAAAAAATGCGTTTATGACCTAAAATCTCTAAAAATGCGCTAAAAGTATATAAAAAAAGATGTAAATTTTGAGTTAATATTTAGAATTTTCAGTATGATTATAATAATATCATCCAATAGTTAATTAATACAATAGATTTGTAATATATTTTGTACTTACTTTTTAAAATTTATTTAGGGAGTTAATATTTCCTTTGTTCTTCTTTCTTTTGGATAAAAGAGTTTCAGTTTTTTTTCTATAACGCCAGTCTTTTTTACTGTCCATAGTATCGAAGATGTCAAATATTTATTCCACAAAAAAAATCTCTCACTAAGGACTGCACATTAGTTTCAAACAACGGCAGACGTCTGACTATTCGAAATTCGAAATTCGAAAATCAAAATTAGAATATTACTCTTACTCCCCGTAGAATAATAAGTACTAACGACGGATCGAAACAGTTGAGACAGGCGATAATTTATTAATTATTATTATTATATTGTGCCCACCGCTGCCGGCGCACGTTTTCTTATCTTACATTATATTCCAGGAATATGATGGCAGCTTATTTTCAATAAATTAGTACCTATCGCCGAATTCGCCGAGCCGATACATTTCCGCACTCGCAGGCACATGTAAATGCTATAGATTTTGTCAAATAAACACCACACTATTTAAATGACAAAAATGTCAAAAGCTAGACAAAATTGTGGGGCTTGGATTCGATGGATTTTAATTTTGAAAATGAATATTAATTAGTCATTTTGTTAATTAGGGAATGTACGAAAGAATTTTATTTTTACTAATATTCTTCGATGAAATATCGTGAATTTAAAAAATAGGTAAGAATTTGTTATATATATATATTTAAGTATGGCTTTAATTTTTGTAATGGTGGTAAATTTTCACGGCCATGCTGTAGTAGAGTTGTTGTAGATTTTCAATTAGTTTTCTAAATTAAAATCCGCCAATCCCAAGTCTCACATTTTTGTCTAGCTTTTGCCCGTTTTAAATGATTATTTGTACTTGCTCCAGCCACCTTAAATACTTTATTTGTTATTTTGTGAAATTAATTAATATCCAATGTATAAACACCAGGAAAAAATTTAATATTATAAAATCTTTTTAAAAGAATGTACCTAAGAAAAGGTATTATATGTAATGTAAAAATTTTCTAGTAGGTAGTAGGTACTCCGGAAATCGGTGTTTCCGAATTGCGGACAAAGTGACAAAAACCACGTGAGTTGCGGACGAAATCTAAAAAGGTAACATACGAATTGCGGACACAAATATAAGATACGAATTGCGGACAAATGTCCAATTTTTATTTTTGATATTAACGATTGTGGACGTTGGGAAATTACTGTTCGATATTAACGATATATATATATGTATATATATATTATTTATCAGCATATAAGATTGTGCAGGCGCTTTTGAAACGACTGTCAAAAAATATGTTTAATCAGTTTATCGACAACCTTACTCGCTTGCTTATCTGTCGTAATGTCGTCTTTCTGTTCGTTTATTTCCAATTTTTTTGTATAAAAATGTATAGTGAAAAACTTAAAGAGTTACGTGTGGTTGACGGTTTTAAGTTCCGTTTTCATCGCATAATGAAAAATGAAATTCAACGGTGGGCGTGTACAAATAAAAGGTGTAATGCATTTTTTAAATTTGATACACATGGTGTTGAAATAGACAATAATCTTGAACATAATAATCACGCTGCCGATGAGAAACGATCACTTGTGTGGCAGAAATTAAGTAACAGTGTCAAACGTAAAGCGGTAGAGCAGCTATGTGAACGTCCCAGCAAAATTATACATTCTGAGATTACATCAGATGATTTAAATATATTAGACTCAAAGGATATAAATTTAATCCGAAAAAATATTCACACTGCTCGTATGAGTAAGTATCCAATATTACCTAAAACACTTTTGGAATTTTATGCGATGGTTCTCGACGTAGTAGATAAATTACACACCCATGGAGGTGAAAAATGGATTATTGACATTGAAATAAGGTTATTACTACAGCGGTCAGCGGGTCTGTGATAATTTTCTCATATTTAATGCTGAACCCTGAACGATTTTTCAAAATCTACAGACGTTATTTTTGGGACGGTTTTTCAGTTATGTGGCTGTTCTGGTCGGCATCCCGATCGTATTATCGTAATAATAATTGTAAAAATAATAGATGTGACTTTGTGTAGCTTAGGTTATTTTATTTTATTATATTATTTTGTGTTTTTAATATTCATGGAAATCTGAGTTTACTTATAAGTTGTTATGTTGTATATTAGTTGGTTAAAATAATTTTTGGGGAAAAAATTCTATTTGAAAATGTCATTGTGAGTGGGTATAAAATTTAATAATATAGTCTAAAAGTTTCAAGTACTCATGAATAATAATTTAAAATTCCAACAAACTAACTAATATCGATATTTTTCTTTTAATTTCGTCTAAATTTTAAATTAATATGTTCTTAAAAAAGAACTATGTTTATACATATTTTTAGATTTTTTGGTTTCAGCATCAACTACTTATACAAATTCCATGAACCATCTGGATTGCAGGTAGTTTTTAAACATTACATTCATTACTCAGTAATTGGGGACATCGGACATGCCTATGGCCTATGAATACATTTAAATATATAATATATAAATATTAAAAAAACCAAATTAAGGTAGTTGGAAACTAAATTTAGGTAGGTACCTATTTAATATATATATTGTTATCAACTATAAAATATATTGCTTGGACTCGATTCTATATAGCAACGCATCATAATTGTAAATAACGCCTAATTTAATTTAAATAGTTACATTTGAAAATTATTTATTTTTAACATTCACATTTAATTAAATTTTCCAAATAATACTTATCATAACAGTTAATAATTATGTTAAAACAATCGATTGATTTAAGTCAAGCCAAACTTTTGAACAATATAAACAACAAAAACACGAATGTTATTAAGAAAAAACGGAAAAACAAAAATAAATGTGTATGTTGTTCGAGAATATTACGTCCTGACGAATCTTTAGAAAAAATCGTGGCAAATGACAGAATGATATTCTTATCCTCGATTCATCCTCCCGTCATTCTTGGCCACAAAAACTGTATTCAAACTCCGATCACTACACCCAAGCATAAGGGATTTTTGTTGGACTTGGAAAAATATGGAGTAATTATAGTATATAACTTATTAGTTATTATTTATTCTCAGATACGTTTTACATAATGACTGTTATGACGATTTTATTTTAATTTCCGTATGATTTCTTGTAAAAATTAAAAACGACCAAAATTATTATTAAATGCACAGGTGATTTTATCCTTGGATTGATATCCACCAAATGTTGGTAACCAACATCTCCGGACGATATTTATGAAGATTCTCATATACTCAAAATGTCATTATTGTTTTTTAGAAGTTTTTATGCGATGAAGTGTCTTTTCATATATTTATTTCTATTAATTGTTTTGAGTTAACCATTATATTGATAAGTTTATATAAAAATTTAACATCGAATAACTGTGTGCCTATTTGATTTACTGACTCAATTGAACATGCTATACTCACTTCACTAGAGAAATATTTTGTACAGCTATATTATAATCAATCATAAGGTGGAATCTTCTCTGTAGTTTCTCAATATAGTCAATTAACCCAACTTGAGGGTTATTAAAAGCGGATGGTATGTTATGCAAAATATACACGTTTCAAACGAAATATTTTGAGAATTCCAAAGAATCGTGTCTAATAGTTTTTAAGGTACTTAATGCCTTACCCTACATTTAGTTTAAATTTAATTTAAAAGATTTTTGAAAAGATAAAATAATATCTTCTTAGAACAGGTATATATATCTTATTATTTTATTTTGTGGATATGACATAATGACATAACTATACTAGTTTTGTGAAAGAGTTATATTACTATAGACGGTTATGCATTTAAAAATATTTAATTTTAGCCCATTTCAAGTATAACTTACAGTGTTCCAAAACGAGAGTTTAAAAATCAACGGAAAATCATAAGAAGTACAGAAGTTAAGTTATGTAACCTATGTTACTTTTTTTATACGTTTAGAGGGATCGCTGAAATGTGATACATCCGAGACTGATGAAACGTTAATTATTTCTGTAAGACAGTGATCAATTATAACTTACTTATTTCAACCTGTTAAGTATGACTATAACCAGATCTAGATTAAGAAGGAACCATTTATGCCTATCGATTGATTTTAATATAGCTATTATAATAGAGCTGTAATATTGACAGTATAAATTATATAAATCTGGCTATGGTGTCACAGAAACCACATTAGTTAAATAGAAATATAGTGTAGAAATAATATAAGCATAATTGTATTCAGTATATTTCCAAGCTTAATAACTATACATACTTACATAGTTGCAGGAACCTTTAGTGACTATAATGTAATGAAGCATTGTAGTGTACAAAATATTTATGCGACTTACTATAAAATTCTTATAACCTTTTTTTAGACAAAGTGGTCACCGGGTGCTGTAACTAAATATGTGGCCGTATTGATGGAGCAAACAAAAGCAGGAACTCTTGGACCATTACCCGGTAGGATAAGAAATAATAGGAGAATACAAGTTTAGTCATCGACATTCTAGGAAGAAATAAAATAAAATATTTAAACCCCTGAGTAGTGATGATTGTTATAAGACAAGGAAATACTTGAAACCATATTCTTATATGTGAAACTGACGGGGACCAAACCACGCCAGAATCTAATACGGCTACGCCTAAACCAGGTGCAGCTCTAAAATCGAATTATACTGTGCGGAAAGTCGCAGCGTTCGTACAAAAAGGGAGCAAGTCATGGATTTCTGAATAATTTTAACAATATAAAATAACTTATACATATATATTATACATAAACCAATTTAAATTTTATTATTTTAATTAATTATTGACATTTTGACAACTTGCGTTTAAAAAAAAGGGACTATTTACAAATATACTAAATTCGACCGGTCATAACCAGACCTGATTTGGAGACAAAAGTTAGCGGATGTGCGTTAGAACTGAGTCTACCCCTTTTTCATTATTATTATTGCATGCGCCCTACGTACCCAAACTTAGTGTAACATTGCCATTGTTCACAATTATGAAAATGCATACATTATAATCAAAATTTGAAATTATTATTGTTGAAAGAAAGAGAAAACACCTTAAAAGTCTATGTTTAGATAATTAAAGACTGTTGAAATTATTAATAAAATACTCTCCATCATGTAGCTTATTAGTAAACTATTCACTCTGTTATACAGCAGACGCTGAATTAGACATTTTTTAAATTCTACAGCAATTAGAATTATGTAGTCACCGGTAGAACATTTATTAGTCGTTGATTTAAATAACGCTGTAAAACACTATGCATTGTACATCGTATCATTAAACTTACAGAGTACCTATACAGTACAATGTATACAATTCATATATACATTTATCAAGGCTTACGCTTTACTCAAAAACTATTGTGTTGTATAATTGAAGCATTTTTGATGGTATCAAAAGTACATGAATGAATATTATCTGTTAATAAATATTTCTATTTGAAAAACTTCTCTAACTGATGTGATTGGGGCAAATATGAACAGGGCCAAATAATCAGGCATTGACAAGGAACGATAAGAAGTGAACAAATGTGAAATCAGTAAAAATGACCTAACAATATCAAAAAATGACTTAAAGAGATTAAAACTGAAAAATGCAAAATAAAATTTAGTTGTTCGGATTAAAATGCTAATTAAAACATTAGTGGTCAAGAGGGTATTGTCAAAAAAGTTAAAAAAAAAAATTGAAAAATGTATGAACTTCAGAGCCATGATAATAATAATACATCCTATGTCTAGATACATCAAAATAATGTTTCATATAATAATGATAATAATAACTATGAATTACTAAATTTTTACTTGTTTCGGTGTGAGAACAATGTCCAGAGAAATAAC